CGCCGCAAAAGACCGTGTCCGCAACGCGATCCCTCCCCTTTTGATCGCCATCCGCTTAGGACTGCCTCAGTTTGCGGTGGATGACAGGTACGAAGTGAAAGCTGAGAAAGTTGGGAACCGCAAGCTCGTGGTCCAAAAAGGTAGCAAAAAGCCCTTGGCAAGGTTGTGAGTTGCTCGCTTGCCTTGTTGCAGCCAGGGCTCTTGTTGGATCGGCCTGCCTTAGTCGCAGCTTGAAGTACGCTCAGCTAAGCTGCACCGGCTGGCTGCAATTTCATGGAAAGCCACCATTCAGCCACAAACATCGCAAGCAAACGGACAAACGGACCGGCACAAACAAACCCGTCGAAGCACATCCACGCTTTACAAGCACTGATCCCTATCAAAACAATAAGCAAAAAGCACCCTTGCCAAGCAGCTGTCGCTTGCCATACGTGATCACCCGGCCCTTTTTCGTCAGGATGAGCACGCCTCTCCAGGAAGCGGTGCAGCGGTGATTCGCAATTCCCTGTGTAAGCGTCTCAGAATGCAGTGCACCCTCTTGGAAGGGCAAATCAATGCCATGCGCGAATATCCGACTGTCAATCGTCGTTCTCGTCCCGAAATGGTTGCCTTTGTTTGAGGGTATCTTGTGGTTGTTGTTTTAAAGCGAAACCAAAGACCAACCCAGCAATCGTTTGGGGTCCCATACAAAAAAAGGATAAGGGCCGGTCTCGACCAACGTGATACTGGTACCCTCTTGGATTTTCCCGGAAGGTGTCACCTCTCGCACTCGCAAGTCGCACGAATCGTGCCTGTGTCATCATGCGGGCCTCGCACCCAAGGTGATCCAACCGGGAAACAAACCAAAAAACACGGAACCGGCCAGCAAAAACCAGCAAGCGCTTTTTGCTGGTAGGGGGAAATTCATGGAACGGGACGACACGAGAGAAAGGCCAGTGGTGAATTGGGCTCACTCCGGACGCCTCAGTGACCTTGCACCACGACACTTGCCATGCCGCTTTTGACACTGAATGCCTAGTCTTGCTCCAGTCCCGAAACCATTCAGAGCAAAGCCGCGGAAAAATATCCAGCAACCGCAGGTGAGGATGCAGTAGAACCACTTCTTCACCATAGACACCTGGTCCGCCCATGTCTTCCGATGCTTCATTTCTGGCCAGAGGCCCCATGAGCAATGCTCATGAGGTTGCCTCTAAGCAGGGGACACTGAAATGGGGTCCCCTTCAACCCCAAACAGGTCCTGGGGTTGCCTCTATATTAGGGGACACGTGGGGACACTGAAATGGGTGAAGGGGAACCCCAGGAAGCAGCATTCGCAACATCAAGCTGAGAACAGCGCCGTGGAGATGTGCATCCGAATGGCGGCCTCGGAAAATGTGAATCGGCTCATCCTGTCCCGTCGGCCAGCCTTGCCATCAAAACCCGGTGATCTGTTCAAAGAACAAAAAAGCAAACGATTCGTTCCAGCCGAAGGATGCTGGCGCAAGAGAAGCATAAGGATTCAGGATTGACCTTGAACAATCAGTTGGTAGTCTCACCATTGTGGGGGTTCCCTAAACAAAGACACACCGACACACCCATATGTTGTTGGTTTCACTCTGCAGTAACCTGTCGGTTCGAGCGATTGGGGATAAACGCACTGACATCCTGGACACCACTGCGGACGTTTAGTCCGTCTCTGCTGCTTCCAGTGTCATTGCACAATGTGGACATGTTGCTTCGTCTCCAAGCGAGAACCCTCAAAACGGGCGTGTCAAACCAGTTACCGTCTGATAAATGACACACCCAGTGAAATGGCTGTCTGTGGCTCAGAAATTAAGAGCAAAGATTACGCAAGTTTTAGTCTTTGTTGCCACTGTACCAAGGCTGATCATTTGGAAGTTACATAATCCCCTAACCTTGGAATCTTTGGACGGGAGCAGCGATCTGAACCAAACTGAAACCGGTGCCACTTAGATACGGGACCTCCAAAATGCTGGTTTTCTCGTTGGTGTCCTTAAAGCAACAGGTTTCCCTTTAAAAGCAATTTGGGTTTCCCTTCAAAGCAACCCCTCAAAAAAGACGGACCCATACTTCCACAAAACTCGTTCCAGGCAATGCGAAGCTGGTTGCCTCGACCGCATCCCCGTCATCCGCCAGGTCATCCCGTGCGAAGCGCTTGAGCATGCCAGCAAGGTACACCCTGCCGCTATGGGCCAGTTCTCTCAATCTTTTTGGTAGGGACTCACCAAAATGGTGGGGTTTTCTTTTCTGGGCGGCCCTCAGATCCCCCTAAAAGTTTATTTAACTTTTAGTGGGATAAATTGAAACTACCACTAAACACTAAAAGGCAAAAAAGCTAAGGGGATGGCAGGGAGCCACCAAGTTTTGGGATTCTTGTTCAAAATGGGGCAAGTCTCTCCGGAAATGGTGTTTTTTTCCTTTGGGATTCCTGCTAGAACCAAAGAGGGAGACTACGACATGAGTCCACAGTCCACTCGGGCAAAGCTGGCCGCTCCAAGGA